GAAATAAAGCATATCAATTGATTTTAAAAAATAATCTACTCTCTGCAAATCTCTGGTCGTGGCTATATGAGGAAAACCTGAGGATAGATATAGATCAAGCTTTCTTTGAATTATTCGATAGAATTAGAATTTCAAGAACTTTTTGAAACTAATCAGAAAAAGACTATCGAAAGTTCATTTAAATTAAAAATTTCAACAGTTTTTGCTCTAATTTTTCTATTTGAAATTTTAAAAAACTTTTCTTCATGCCAAGTTTCGTTTCCCGATTTGAGTATTAAATAATTTATCTTCTTGTCGTTTTCTACTTTCTGGTAATAATATATTTTTTTATTTGCATAACATTATAATACATAGTATAATACAGAGCAACAGTTTCAACTACTTTTTATAGAATTCTGAATCACTTTTGCATGAACAATATATTTTACATTATGCCCAAATAATGTCAACCTTTGCATGTAGAGATAATGAGCCTTTCCTCAATGTTACACATAATAATGTACACTCAAAGATGACCTTATTTTTAAGAATTTTTAATTGATCTTTCTAAAGTTTATCTTGTAGATTGCATATGGTATTAGAACCAGATGATCCAAATCCGGCAAGAATCACTTGAGTACCTTTGTATTCCAGTTTTACCTGTCAATGTTCCATCGAATTCAGCAGTGCTGTTCTCATTATAGAAAAGTGACTTTAACAAATAGGTCATATGTATATTTCCAATTTCTAGTGGCACGTGAAGCTTTTTTAAATTGATAATATTACACTGTTGTGCGGTTTGCCAAAATTATGAGAGCTGAAGAAATTTTTCTTAATACTTTTTTTTTAGAAAATCTGCATGCGGGTTCTAGTAAATGTCTGATTAAATGTGTTTTTATTTTTCATTGAAATTCAGTTTTTAACACTATTAATCTAGAATTTCCATCGAAAGCATCCGAGTTTTGTCGAATAAATTTTGCTTATCTTATTTTTCCATTATTTAAGAAACTTAGAAATATAGTCATTCGATGACATAGTCAGATAGATGTTTAGTCTACGAATGAACCCATCCATATATAAATTGCTTTGCCTACTATCTAAAATGAATCAACAATCGTTAGCTTTGTTTTTTATAATAAAACTTTTTATCATTTCAATTGATATATTATGTAGAAAAAAGCTAACGCATCCGTTTTTTTCTCTAGCTAGATGCTATCGAATAAATACCCTTTAATACTGACTACTCATAAGTAAATACCAATGTAAGTTTCAATGAAAAGTTTTTCATATGGTTTATCAGTTGTCTGAAACTCCTTCAAAAAGTATTTCTACGCAGAAATAGATATCACTGTTACGAGTATCGTAATAGTTACATAATCTACGCCTGTGTTAACTACATTATTTTTTTCGAAAACACAAATAATTTCAAATCCTTAATTTATTGCGATAATATATATTCGCTTTTTCTTAATCAAAAGAGTTATACGTAGATATTACAAGAAAAATTAGAGCTTAGGAATATTTAAAATAGTCCTGGAACAAATTCGAATATCCCTAAGTTGATGTGAATGTTTCATTCTTCATTAGTCATATCCACACTCTCAAGTAAGAAAATAGCTCTTTTCTTATCTAATTGTCTCATCTTTTTTCTTTGTTTTTTGCCCTGATCAAGATTAAATCTTAGAATGGAGGTGTGTGTATTGATGAGCGGAAAAGTGGCACATGTTCGGGTCAAATGAAAGCTTTCAACGCCAAACTAACAAGGTTAAAATATTAGCTGCTGTTGGCTTGTCTAGAGGGAGATATTTAACTTTTAAGTGTAGGTATAAAAATGAATCAGGAAAGGTTTTCTCCACTATTCTAAGGACAAAACATAGTGTTGTTCGGGGCGATTAGGGGATTTGTAGGGACCCTCTTTCATATGGCCCGAACAACACTATGTTCTGTCCTTACAATAGTAGAGTGAATTTTTCCTGTAGGTCATGGAAACAGCATTTTCTATCTATCACTAGAACAATTCACTCCGCTATTATAAGGACAAAACATAGTGCTGTTCGGGCCATATGAAAGAGGGTCCCTACAAACCCTATAATCGGGTCGAACAACACTGTGTTTTGTACTCATAGTAGCGGAATGAATTTTCCTAGCGGTTGATAGAAAAAAGCTGTTTTCATGAGCTACAGGAAAATTCACTCTACTATTGTACGGACAGAACATAGTGTTGTTCGGGCCATATGAAAGAGGGTCCCTACAAACCCCCTAATCGCCCCGAACAACACTATGTTTTATCCTTATAATAGTGAAGAAAACCTTTCCTGATTCATTTTTACACCTACACTTAAAAGTTAAATATCCCCCTCTAGGCAAGCCAACAACAGCTAATATTTTAACCTTGTTAGTTTGGCGTTGAGAGCTTTCATTTGACCCGAACATGTGCCACTTTTCCGCTCATCAACACACACACCTCCATTGTTAGTGATTTTCTCTGAACATTTCTAACAAGGAAAATTGAAATCAAAGTCAATTCTTCTTTTCTATGTCTGAAAACAAAATTTGTGTGACTGGCTTTTTTATCGTTCGTGTATACATGCAGCAGTCTCGATTAAATGTCAATTAAACTCCAGATCATACTTGAAATTATTGAAGTATTTTTTCGACTGAATCGAACCAACCGCTTGGACATCCTGACTTTATTGGCAAAAAATCAATCCTTTTAGTGCGTGAGTAAATCAATTATTTTTTTCGAAAAAGCCTGTTCTTTGAATTTTACAAAGATGCACAATGTACAACCCATATCACTGTTGAACATTATAAAACTAGCAATTCCTATTTCCGTCTGGTACGTTTAATATGCGTTAGCAGTATTAAAAACGAACAAAAACCTCTTTCGAATAACTAAGTTTGATTTATTCTTACTATAATTAAATATTTGATAATGCCGAAACGTATTTCAGTACTTCAAATGACGTTATTAGCAACAGAAAGAGAAGTTGAGTTAAAACGTAAGTTTGCCTTCATTTAACTTTCTAGTTTAGGTTTATTAGCATTTCAATAATATCATAGTAATATGACGCTAGTAGTTGACAGAACCTGGACAGTAGAGCGGAATCCCTTCTCATATTTTTCAAAAACATGATAAAAGGAAAACTACTAGGTATTGAACTTTTGTGAGAATTGGTTAGAAAGAAT